TCCCGGTCATTTCAATTCTGCAAGCAGACAAAGGAACAGAAGGAGGACCTTTTTTCGGGGGGGGGGGCGGAAGAGGGAGAAGGGGGTTTGGGGGGAAAGGGGAGTCCGGCCCGCCCTGGAACCGGCTGCAGCCCCATCCTGAGACCCCGATGCAGACCCAGTGATGGGGGCGGGAGCAGGGCTGCCAGCGGGGGTGTCCCATCCTGGCAGAGCAGAAGAGAGGAACATTTAAAAAATCACCTCTGTTGTTTCCAAGGTGCAGAGAGCCCGGCAGCACCACCGGTGCTCATGGAAACACCACCAGCGCCCACCAATCACGACTCCCCGACAGGCAGAGAGGGGCGGAGCATGCAGATATGGCCACACACCCTGGTCTCAGCCTCCCCCAGACCCCAGGCCAGGAGGAGCACAGGGCACCCCACGGGGCAATGCTCCCTCTTAGCTGCGGAGTCTTGTTGTGAGCAAATAGTCTACTTTGTGAGCATTAAAGTTGTGAGCAAGCGATTTGGCTACTGCTCTGGAGCCATCCTTCCTGGGCTAAGACAAAAAATCTGTGAGCTGGAGGCTAAAGAACTCTGAGCAAGCTCACAATAGCTCAGCTTAGAGGGAACACTGCACACGGGCATCCATCACTGTGAGGATCATGGAGTGATTGACAGGATCCCCCAGAATTAACATAAGAACAGAAGAGAAGCCAGTGTTGGATCAGGCCAGTGGCCTATCAGGTCCAACAGTCGGTGTCACACAGTGGCCAGAAAGACCAGGTGCCCTCAGGAGGTCCACCAGCGGGGCCAGGACACTAAAAGCCCCTCCCACTGCTGACCCCCCCCCCAAGCACCAAGAATACAGAGCATCACTTGCCCCAACCTGAGAGTCCCTATTCATACCTTGTGGCTAATAGCCACTGATGAACCATATATTTATCTAATTCCCTCTTGCAGCCATCCATGCTTGTAGCCGCCACCGCCTCCTGTGGCAGTGGATTCCATGTGTAAATGAGTCTTTGGGTGAAGAAGAAGAAGAAGAGATTGGATTCACACCCTGCTCTTCACTGCCCAAAAGTGTCTCAGAGCAGCTTACAAACTCCTTTCCCTTCCCCTCCCCACAACAGACACCTGTGAGGTCGGTGGGGCTGAGAGAGCTCTTGACAGAAACTGCTCTTTTTCAAGGACAGCTCTTGTCAGAACTACGGCTTGCCCAAGGTCATACAGCCAGGTGCAAGTGGAGTAGTGGGGGAATCAAACCCGGTTCTCCCAGATTAGAGTCCGCGCACTTAACCACTACACCAAACTGGCTCTTCCCTGGCTGCTCCTTTTATCTGTTCTAACCCGACCGCTCAGCAATTTCATTGAGTGCCCACGAGTTCTTGTATTGTGAGAAACGGAGAAAAGTACCCTTTTCTCTACCTGCTCTATCCCACGCATAACCTTATGAACCTTGATCATGTCACCCCTCAGCTGTCATTTCTCCAAGCTAAAGAGCCCCACAAGCGTTTTAACCTTTCTTCATAGAGAAAGTGTTCCAACCCTTTTATAATTCTAGTTGCTCTTTTCTGCCTTTCCCCCCAATGCTATATTATCCTTTTTGAAGTGTGGTGACCACAACTGTACACAGTACTCCAAATGAGATCGCACCATTTATTTATACAGGGTTATTATGATCCTGGCTGATTTGTTTTCAGTTCCCTTCCTAATAAATCCCCAGCATAGCGTTGGCCTTTTTTATTGCAGTTGCACACTGTCTCGACGTTTTCAGTGAGTTATCTACCACGACCCCAAGATCTCTCTCTTGGTCAGTCTCTGCCAGTTCGGACCCCGTCATCATGTATTTATATTTAGGATTTTTGGCTCTAATGTACATCACTTTGCACTTGGCCACACTGAACCGAACGTTTTCAAGGCTGGGCTTAGGCTGGACTCTGGAAAACATTTTCTTTCCGGGTGATCTGGAGTACGGTGCCAGGAGAAAACAGGGATTCTTCTCTGGATGCAAGACTTGTTCCCTGAATTATGTTGGCTGCGTTTATAATCCCGAAAGATCATCGGTACCATGTGCTTCTCTTCTGCCTCTCCCAGAAGTCAGTAAAAAGTGTTTTAAAATATGTTGAGTGTACACAGGGCGAGGAACAAGCAAGAAAACACCCTACGTTTCTCCTTGGTCTCATTAACAGAGAGTGAAGAGATGCTGTTGAGCCGACAACTTTTCAGAGGTCCGGAAACGACTGCCGCACCTCCAGTCCAGGTAGGAGAGATGAGCGTTGTGGGATTCCGGGACCCCCGGACTGTTTCCCTGGGACCCTCCCATTCCCCTTTAGTTCTTTCATTCGTTGGGTGAAGACTAGCAAGGGAGTGACTGAATCAAGAGAGAGAGACCAGAGTTCTCAAAGAAAACCAGTTTATTTACAATACAAGCTCCCTAAGGACAAATAGCACTTTGGCACTTACGTATCTTTAAGGGTGAAAACAAAACATTTCCACATTCAGCATAGAATACTTCAACACAAACATAGTGCACTTGTGTGAAATACGGAGCGCCCTGGTCTAGTCAACAAGAGCTCACAGAGAG